ACTGGACGCGCGATTGGCAAGAGCCACAATTCGTCCTGGGAGAACTGAACTGAACTGAGGTGCACTGGTTTGGAACACATTTTGGACGAAGTCATTCTTACCATGACGCAGGCTGTGCGTCAGAAGGTATTAGGCATCACTAACAGTGCGGCGGTCTGCCGTGTTTAGCTGGCCAAATGTAATTTCAGTGGAGATTTTGACCGGAAAATTAAGTTCCCCAATTTGGCTTGGAAAGATATATCGGTAAATTTGGTAAATTTGACCTACGCTACACTAAGTTTTGTCCGTCGTCATTGTGGAACCTAAATTCCTGAGATTTTCTCCATCCTCCTGTGGATTTTTCAAGGGATTAAGTGTAATAAGGACTCCAAGAAAACAATTCTAGTGCTTACTTTACAAAACGATTGTTGGCCCACGTGTGAATGCTTTATCACATGGTTTCACCGTTGGCTGCATGTTGCACGTACCAGCATCCAGCCGGAGATGTATAGGATAATGCAGTTAATTGACTCACCAAATCTGAAGTTTTCTTGTGACAAATATCTTCCGTAAATCCGCACCGTGAGTGTCAGCGAAGCAGCTCTGCCTCTGCCTAAGTCAAGTGGACCGGCGGATTTTACGATGCAGTCGCTAGTAACACTATTTTCACTTTTCAACGCCATTCCACTCATTCATGTAACAACTCTGTTTTGTTTTATTTCCCTCTGTTTCGAGATCGCATATGACCTGGAAGATGACGATTTCCGGTGAGTTGTATCGTGCGCTTGGCTCTCTGTACACCTCTCCACGGCAGGTCACATAACACTACTAACGCTCGTACCCGGCTCTGTTTTGTTGAAGTGTCGGAGAAAGTCGATGCGGATCATGGACTGCGGAAAGTCGGCGGTGATAAATACCCAAAGTGAGCTATAGCAAATAGCGAGGTCCAGTGTGAGTGAGTGCTGATCGTAGGTTTTAATGGGTGCTATTCGCGGCGACCAGTTCCACCGTAGAGAGTCAATGAAGGTCAGCTTGTCGAGGATGTATGACGCCGACGTGTGTTCCTGTGTCAACCAGGAAGCGTATCCCGGTATGTCGGTCGGTGACAAAGAACAGGCGACTTGGTCGTGGCGAGCCGGACACGGTCGTCGCCTGGGCCGGTCGGCTTATCGGTTTCCCGTAACGACGGTGATACCAACAAACCCCATTCTACGGTGATCGTGATCGTGGGCGCCTAGGGCTACGGCTTATGCGGTGGGAGCGTATTCGATGGTGTTATAGTGGCCGGCAACCAGATAATATCAACGCCTGAACCTGTGCAACTAACGCTTTAACACAGGCTACTAGTTCGGCGTTGTCAGAGGAGGGCGGTGGTTGCGCTGTGATGGATTGGACCGACAATTGGTCAACAAATACCCTATCGACCGTTTCCGCTGGTTCGGTTAGCGTGTAGCGTTGACCAAAATACTGCAGTATAGAAGACGCTCTTTGGTAGAGCTTGCATTCAAGACAAGCGGAGTATGTTTTCGTCGACGTTTAGACTGGCGGTTTGACCCTGCATATAACTGAGTAGTTTCGTGGGTGTGTCGAGGCCGCTGTCGCCTAGACGCAGGCTGCCTAGAAGTTGCTTAAGGCGACATTCCAGGGGCATTCCGAAAATGCCCACGATCGCATCATGGAGGGACTCACACGATCGGTCTGATGGTGGGTTGCATACAATGTCGCGCAGACATTGGAAGGTGACCTACTAACTGATTGATCACCATAGCTAACTTAAACTGGGCCTCGACCTGGGCCAGCCAAAACTCTGGGTCTTCAGGAATAAATTCGGGTATACGGGCTTGTAGGCCCAATACGCTCGTCTCTTCTACGCGCGGCGATAGCGCCGTTCTCCTTACCCTCGGAAAATTGATTTAACATGGAGTCAGGTGTGAATTAAGTGGGAAAAATGAACAATCGAATTGCCCGAACAACAGTGGAACTCGGAGTACAAATGAGTAAAACAAGTGTGAGAAGCTCAACTATCCGAATACGTGGGATTTCGTAAGCAAAAATTGGTTCAACGATAAAAAGGTAACAGGTATGATAGAAACCGTTAAAAATTAAAATAAACAATATCAGGATACGCCAAATACGAAAAACTAAAAAAAAGATTGTTGTGCAGGAGCACCAGACTCACTGAAAACTTTCAGCCCGTAGTGTGCTGAAAGAAAACGGGTTAAACTAAGTCGAACTCGCTAGTTTAGCACCTAGGACGAGCTGGGCAACGACGCGTTCACTATTTCTATCGATCAGGCGCATTACGAGGTTTCCTGAGGAGAGAACGGATGGAAAACAAAGCCGGGTACGAGCGTTAGTA